CGACTGCCGATGACGTCACATTACTGCAAATCTACTCGGCTTTCACACACACGTTTTGGAAAGACATCAGCAGTTTTGTTAACAAATTCTTGTTTGTTAACACCTAAATGTTTTCTTTATAATTATAATTTGTTAATAAAACACCACATTATCTTTGTTTTGTAAAGAATGTGAAACTGCATAAAACCAACATCGGACTGACAAAAAATAGAACAGTTCTTATGTGTGAAGCCATATCTGTTTGTATTAATGCTGTTATCTAAATGCATTCTTTGACTCAAAACATTGCTTGGTGTCTTTCAGTAAAGTTCTTATATTTTATTTTGCCCCATTTCATCAACATCAAGAGCTTTGGAGGGTCACCATTTGCTTATATTTTACATTTCCTTTAGAAATTCAAACCTATTATCTCCAAAAAGTGTTGATTTTTGGACAACAGGACTATAACCGCTAAGACTACGACCGCAAATGTGTTCTGACCAATCAAAATCATAATGTGATAACGTCACTTCCGTAAGCTTCATGTTCAGCCAATCAACTACTTTGACGTCATCGGCAGTCGAAGGACCCCGAGCAGGTCCTGCACCCGAGCAGGTCCTATACCGACAACGGCTGCAGGCAGAAAGCTCGAGTGCAACCAGTGACTCCACCCCCTAGCCAATCAGGGGCTAGGGGGTGGAGTCACTGGTTGTGTTTTTGGAATAGCTCAATACAGTAGAAGTTAGTAAGAATACAAATTTGTGCTGATGTAAAAAGCTGTCCAACTGGACCAATCCCATTTGAGTTATGCTGGTTGGTGCTGTTGGAAAAAGGGCATAAGTACGAAAACAATCTTTTATGTAGCGCCTCTCAAGATAAAAGTCACGAGGTGCTTCACAAAAACAACAAAACATAGTGTAGAAAAGATTTTTTAATTATGATTAAAAATATGTTTAAAATGAGAAAAAATATTACAATTGTGATTTTAAAAAGTGTAAGAAAGGGAGAGAGAAAATGAATAGGAGAGAGGGAAATCAGTGGATCCCAGGAAAGGTGGAATAAGAGCAGAATCAGGAGAGGGAGGTGATGAAAATCCCACCAAACCTGAACAGGTGAGTTTAAAGGAGACCACTGAGTCCACTGATCTCAGGCTCTGGGGGAGAGAGGTCCAGAGTCTGGGGCCACAACAGCAGATGTGTGTCGTTTGTTTTATTCACCAGCTAACATGTTAGGTTTCTGCTATGATCGTGTTTAGTAGGCCTTGTTTGATGCTTGTTGTACTCTCTTTTATGTTGCTTGTCTTTGGGTCAAATAGGAAATATTCCAGTTTTCAGATATATATAATGATGCTGCAAGGAAAAAGCCTCGCTGGACCAGTGCAGCTAAATGTTTGTGACAGCTCTCCAAAGTGCTTTACAGAACATTAATTCACTTCCTGATGGTGATGAGCTGCATCCTAACCACAGCTTCTCTGGAGAACGCTGACAGACGCCATTCTTATTTTGGAAACCAAACCTGCTCTGGAGCATCAGTGAGTCAAACATTTCATTTAATGAAATATAAATTTATATGTGAATCACTAATAAATGTTGGAATTAAAGTAGGTTACAAACCCCCTGATGCACCCAGGGCCTTGTGTATCACATGATCTGTTGACCTTCTCAAGGTTCTGGTCATCGTCTCAAACTCACTCCAACAGGATGTTTAAATGAAGTTTAGCATTGTAGAAAGTATCGATGATGTGTGGAGAACTGGTAAATGGTAAATGGTCTGTATTTGATATAGCGCCTTCTAGAGTCCCCCCAAGGTGCTTTACAACACAATCAGTCATTCACCCATTCACACCCTGGTGGTGATGAGCTAGGTTGTAGCCACAGCTGCCCTGGGGCACACTGACTGAGGCGAGGCTGCTGAGCACAGACGTCACCAAGGTGGGTTACGTGTCTTGCCCAAGGGCACAACGACACACGAGGCAGTGCAGGACTTTAACGGATGAAACTAAAATGAGTTTATTATTATTTCTTCCCACTGGAGCAGTGAACAGCTGCAGTCTAAACCAGCTTTACTGCGGGACAAATGCCTGTACAAGCTGGACCGCCACCATCAGAAACAAGAACATGTGAGTTTAAACGGACTGTAGAGCTGGTAACAGCAGGTGGGTGGACCAGGATTTTGAGCAATCAGATGACCCTTTCAATGATTGTTCTTCAGAAAAGAGCTGATCAAAGGTGGAGTTTTCCCAGGCCAGCTCAGCATCCAGGTGTGAATAAAAAGGCCAGGTGAGTGTGTGCAGGGACAGCAGCCTCCAGCTGCCCAGGTGAGCCCAAATAGCCAACAGCTGTCTGCAGACAAGTAAGTGTCCAGCTCTGCTGTCCCTCCTATTTCTACTCACTGCAGCTGAAGACTCCATCCAGCATTTATCTCAGCACCTACTGTAGCTGTGCAAGACAGAGAGCTGCAGATTTCTTTTTGACACCGATGTTCTGTCATGTCTCCTGTCGGGGTGTCCTTACATGTTCACTCATGAACCTTTTCCTTTATTCAACACAGAGAAGCAAGATGTCCATCACTGAGCTCGACGTTTCTCTGAACAAAGCTGATGAGAGTTTAGAAATATCTTGGTTAACCCGAACAAAGGAGCAGGAGGTAAAGGGATCTACCGCTGGTATAAAGAAGGCACCTGCCCTCCCATCACCAGGATCCAGTTCTCCTTCACAGAGAAATTGGCCGAGGGTCTGAAGGCTAAAGGGTACACCAAGGTCCAAAAAAATCTGAATGCTGGAGCAGGTGGAAGCAAAATCTACCGGTGGTACTACAAAGGCACAGGAGAGAGCCATGTTCCCATCAACGAGATTCAGCTCTCTGATCAGGATGATGCCCAAATGCTTAAGTCTGGCTGGGGAGGCTGTCCTGTGATCTGAACTGAGAAGATGGAGGAAACCCCATCTCCTTGTGGGTGCAGAGAGAGATCCTGACCTACATCTGTGACATCACTGCCACTGAAGACCCTGAAAATGATGCAGACCTGCTCTTGAACAATTACGTCAGAGTGGATGAAAGTACCAACAGAAGCACATCGGGAGTCCCGGCCCTCCTCTGGTTCTTTCCAACCACCAAGAAAGGAAGTGCCATCATGGATCTTGATGTCTCCAACAGTAAAGAAGAGAATCTGTGCCTCCAACAGCAGAAGAACAAGTTAGTGAAATCTCAACAAGGGGAACAAAGGATCAGAGGTGTTCCTGTGGTACAAGAAAGATGGCAGCTGTGGCGAGCCCATCCAGGCCATCACTCTGATTTATGAGGAGGTGTTCCTGAGGGTGTTTCAGAGAGGTGTGGTTTCTGTCATCAACAAAAGTCTCAACCCTGGTGCTGGGCATCTAGGCTGGCCTGCATCAGAAATATATGTGGGCTTTTATAACTGAGCTGAGCATGCTGACGTGGGAAAATCACCAGAAAATTACAAATATTTCAGTTTAACTGTGGTGGTGGTGATTTGTATCAGATGATGTTTGAAGAGTAAAACAGGATCACATGGTTCAAACATGCCAAATTGGTGTTATTCCACCAACCGATGGGACTGATTCCCGGACTCTGCATTACTTTTTATGATGACTTTCCTTCATTTCAGTAAAATCCTATTTGCGTCACAAATCTCGCTGCTTCCTGATTTAGTTTTTCCAGTCAAACCTCAAGCGTGCAGCTCAGTGAGAAGTTAATCAGGTGGTTATTTTCAGTGTTGAAGGTGGACTTGCATAATGTTCAGGCCTGTAATTTCAAACATTAGTTCATAAACCTAAACCTTACACATTCACGCCGACTCACAGCAAGGCTAAGCATGCTAAACGTTAGCCCAGGTCAACAGCTGGAATGGTTTCAAAAGGTCACGTAATGGTTGCTAATCTGGCCTTTGCCTTCAGGAGACAAATGTTTCTGGTCACCGAGGCTGTGATCCGTTTTATCAGGATTTCTGCCAAACACCAACTCCCAAACAGTAAACACAACTAAACATGTTGGAGTGTGACGCTTTTGCACGTTAAAATAGTCCAACTATATCCACCTTCCTAGTCTCCTGTCAGGAGTGTGAGAAGCAGAAACATGAAGTTGGACAAAGTAATTTAAACTGGGACAACATGTGATGAGATTTTTAATGATCTGAAGAGATAAAAATGGTGCATGAAGACACGGCTGATCTTCATGAGGCGTTGCTGCACACCCCTGTGAGACATTTGTGTGAATCTAGAGTAAAAGATCCCTATGGCCCAGGGTTTGAGTGCATCTCTTCACTCCGACCTTCATTAACCCCAATAATGTTCTTATTTCATAGTTGTTGTCACCAGAATTAGGTGCAGAATCTCCATTGGACTATCACCTATCTTAAAACTAACTGGTGGCCACCAAAACCTCCACTTAGGAGAGAGGTTGGTGCTCTTGCTGCTGAGCTACCGGATTATTCAGGCCCTGGACTCTACTTGGAATGAACGCAGACAGACTCGTGCACTCCACGTCGCTCTGACCTGTGTGCATGAATAATGCTTTTCATAAACGATCTATGATCATGGGAACAGTAAGGCTGAAATGAGGCAGAGGTATACTATCCTGGACGTGCTGGATGGTTGAGGCATCTGTATGTGGTATTTTTCAGATGGAGTCAAGAACAATTTAAGACTCTGAGATGGAAAAGACATGGTGAACTCTTTCAAGTCAGAGACTTGGACTGGGAGGTGCTAGCTCAGCGGTCAGAAGAATGTAATAAATGAATCAGTGCAAACAGCTTGATGCTGAGCACCAAATGCACTAGATAAGATAAAAAATGATGAGCGAGACCTAGAAGAAGTAAAGGTCCTTCCTACCCAAAATGACCTGCCCTAGACGCTGGTGTGTAAAAGAATATCCATGTTTCCTGGTTCTGGTTTTTAGGGCCTTATATGGAAAAAACTTCGTCAGTTCAGAGGAGCTGCACAACGTGCAGTTCTCCTCTTTTAACAGCAGGGGGCGGAACTAAGAAAATTACACCACAACAAAGCAGGAAGTGGAGGCAGAATTGACCAGAAGTACGTGTTTGACACGAAAACATAGCATTAGCTGCATTACTTTGAAGCTAATTTTAAGAAAAACTGTAATGTTTTCTATGATTGTGCCCCTTTGAGTCAAGCTGTATCTCTGAAAGGGAAACTTAGATGGGCAGAAGCGAACAGGCAACGGAGACGAACTGGAATCAGCATCGGAAGTGTTAAAGAACCGGTACAGATAATGAAGAGGAACGTTTAGAGGTGAGCAATAATCCCGGAGTTCATCTCCACAGATTAGCTGTTTATTTAGCGGCTTCATATCGAGTGCGGGTTTAATTTGAACGTTTCGGGGAAGATTATCAGGTGGCTAACGGTCTTAGCATTTTAACATAACTTAGCTTTAATAATGACAGGTTCCTAACACTAACATGTGATCATGTCTAATACTTATATTTTTTATTTGTCCAGGAAAAGAGTTGGTACATTATTAAAAGGGAAACAACTGCTAGTGTAATGGGTTAATGTAATCTCATGACAGTCAGGGCATATGCATTATCAGGGTTTGTGCAATATAGTTGATGTGTTTCCGTTATTGTTATCTATGCTGTCCTCTGTGTCCACTTTCCTGACATTTGTTTATGTTAGTATAATGGGATGACTGTTTTTTGTCTTTGTCACATGACTTGTAAATACTATCTCTGTATGTTTCCAATACTTTGTGTCTAACATCAACCTGCCGGAGGGTCTGCAGATGGAAATTAGCCCAAGGCTATAATCTGGCATATTTACATTAATTGAAATGTTCATTAATATGTATTGCCCCTCTTCCTAAAAATAAATAAATAAATAAACTCATATTAGTCCCGTTTTATACGTTTACTTGTTCACTTCAGGGTTGCCGACCCGGGAACCGAGGGAGCATTCTGGAGAGCAAAAATGACACAATTAGTCAGTTTGGTTAATTAGTTAGTTAACTAATTAACATTGTAGAACCTGTTTAGTTTGGTGAGCTGCAGCTGTGGCTGCGCTCGGGAACTATGGTGGTTTAACCCCCCCAATCCAACCAGCTGAGTGTGAAGCAGGGACCTTGTCAATGACGGGTGTGGTAACGTTATGTTTCATGTTTCTAAAGCCCCTATGAGTTATAACAGGAGACACGCTTTCTCCATTTGTGCAAATGTAAATTTGTTATCACAACAGTCCAAAATAATGCAAACACTGCAGAACAGTTATGCAGAAATTTCCTCTAGCCTCTGGGTTTTTATTTCTTCACATTTTTGGTTTAAAATTGCGTCACAGGCTTTTTAGGGCCACATCTGACCTGGAGAGGCTGAAGGTTCCAACCCTGGTTTAGATGGAAAATTCAGGTGAAGTTAAGGAATGTGGTGATGGTCCTCCTCCATCATTATTAATCCACTTTTACACCAGTACCACAGCATGATGCTACCACCATCATGCTGGAGTGTTGGTACAGCTTTCTTAGGCTTAATTCCTCCAAACACACCATCTCATCTCTCACTTTTGTTTAGAAGACATTTGTCTTTTAGATGTGGACATCATCAACTTACAGTCAAGCTCCTGGGTGTCTCTTGAAATGGGAATTTCTTTCTTGGTCTCCACCCTCAAATTCCATACTGATGTTAAACTGGCATCCCTGTGGACGGAAACCCTGGTGTTCCAGAATCCATGGTAGGCTTGGCCTCGGTGGTTCCTGGACACCAGAATAAGTTCCTCTCATCGGTGTGTGTGTGTGTGTGTGTGTGTGTGTGTGTGTGTGTGTGTGTGTGTGTGTGTGTGTGTGTGTGTGTGTGTGTGTGTGTGTGTGTGTTTGCGGGGGTCATCTTCTTTGGCTTTTCCCAGCCTGCTCCATCACTCAATGCAGCTGCATACTGAGGACATCACTACGAGGACTAGGCTAATATGTTAACTTCCTTAACAACTGATGTTTTTGGCAGATAAAGGAAATGACACAAAGAAAGAAAGAAAATACAAAAAATAATAATAAACATTTAAAGGACAACTTGAATGTGTTTTTTTATGATAGTTTAAAAATGTTAGTTCTTATGAAGCGCCTCGTGATTTTTATTATGAGAGGCTCTGTATAAAAGATAGTTTCCTTTCTTTTTTTTTCTTGACTAAATGCGTTGCAGATTGGGTCTCGATTGGACAGATACTCAAAGTCTAACGAGTCTGACTCGGATCGGGGTTATTAGACATCCATGCAGCCTTTTCATGTTAAGTCTTTCTCCAACCTTCAGCAGCATTTAGAAGAAATTTTGGGGAATGTATAACTGCAAATGTTCTTTGCAGCATGCTTGATTTGTTCCCATTTAAAAACGTGATGGATCTTTTAGCTGGGGGAAGCAGTCACATGGATATCTGTCTCATCTGCATCAGGGTCCTGACTTCCAGCATGAGATGATGTTCTAGCAGTCAAACTGAGCATGAGTGGTGTTTGTGTGAATAATAAGTGACAAATGTTCAACATCTACATGTGACTGAATGTTTCCTGCAGATGGAGCTGAATACAGAAGAAGCTCCTGAGGAATGGAGTCCTGGTGTGGACCAGCAGGACCCAGAGAGCCTCCATGTAAAGGTAGAAGAGGAGCTGTGGAGCAGTCAGGAGGAAGATCAGCACAATGGGAGGATGGAGACTGATGCTAACAGGTTTTCATTCACTGCAGTTACCGTAAAGAGTGAGGATGAGGAGAAACCTGTTTTCTCACGTCTTCATCAACAGGAAGTGGAAGAAGGAGATGTTCCAACCAGCAGCTCAGCTGATCAGATAAAAGTAGAATCTGACTGCAGAGAAGCAGAAACGATCAGGAACCCGGACCTGAGTCCTCTTGAAGATGATTCCAACTCTTCAGAGACTGAAGTTAGTGAGGATGAGGATGTGAACAATGGTGACTCTCAGCTGAAACATTTATCAGACTCTGGGTCAAAAACTGAAGACAGTGACAGTGAGTGTGAGGAGAGCAGGTCTCCTGAGTCGGGTGTAACCACTGTCAGCAAGTCCTTTAGCTGCTCCGAGTCTGGTAGACTGTTTATTAACAACCAGGTCCTGCAGAGACGCACGGCGAGTCGTTCAGAAACAGGGTCCTCTAGTTTAGTGGATAATAAAAGTTTAAATGTTAGTGAAAATGTAGACGCAGACAGGGAAGTCCAGACAAGACAAAAGTTGTTTAGTTGTGACGACTGTGGTAAAAGTTTTAACCATAAAAAAAATCTAGATCGGCACATGAGGATCCACACAGGAGAGAAACCGTTTCTGTGTCGTGTTTGTGAACAGAGGTTTAGCCAGAAAACAACGTTAGACGCACACATGACCATCCACACAGGACGGAAGCCATTCATGTGTGGTGTGTGTGAGCAAATGTTCAACCGAAAGACAACGTTAGACAGACATGTTAAAGTCCACTCAGGCCAGCGGCTGTTTGGTTGTGATCTTTGCGGACAAAAGTTTAGCCATAAGGCAACTTTAGTGACACACATGAGAATCCACACAGGGAAGAAACCGTTTCGTTGTGACGTTTGTGAAGAAAGGTTTAGCCACAGGACAACGTTAATCACACACACGAGGATCCATACAGGACAGAAGCCGTTTGATTGTGACGTTTGTGGAGAGAAATTTAGCCACAAGACAACTTTAGTCAGCCACATGAGGATTCACACGGGCCAGAAGCCGTTCGTCTGTGACATTTGTCAGCAAACCTTTAGACACAAGTCGAATTTCGACACCCACATGAGAATTCACACAGGGGAGAAACCGTATGTGTGTGATTTTTGCACACTAACGTTCAGACAAAAGACGACTTTCGACAGACACATTAGAGTCCACACAGGGCAGAAACCCTTTGATTGTGATGTTTGTGGACGAAGTTTTAGCCTAAAGGCACATTTAATCACCCACACCAGAATCCACACCGGGGAAAAACCGTTTGTGTGTGACGCTTGTGGACAAGGATTCAGCCAAAAGGCGAATTTGACCAGACACACGAAAATCCACACGCGAGAGAAAAGTGTACTAGAGTTTGTGCCGACTTCTGACGACTCACAGGAGATCCGGGCAGATCTGTGAAGCTCTGGTTTTCCTTCTCAAAAGCGTTTCTGCAGTAGCGCTCAGATGTCTGCGTTCATCTAGCGGGAGGTCTTCAATCACAATCCTAAGAAACAAGGTCGAAAAGGTCTCTAGTCTGACGAGGAGGTAACGAAGCCAGGTCACTCCCGCTCCTCAGTCCTGTGAAAGCAGGAGGGACGGACGTTACTCACAGCTTCTCCTTTAATGGGACATTTTATACAAAATGAGCCTTTTGCACCCTCCTGTACTGCGATGTGCGATGTATACGTTTTATTTGTTATCGGTTGTGTTGTAGGAGGACCTGCTCGAAAACGAGATGTTACATCTCAAGCAGATTATCCTCCTGAAAAACATAAGTTAAATAAATAAATAATTTAGTAATGTCCCCTTTTTTGTTAAATAAAGACACAGCAGGTCCTGTTCTGTGGTTTTATACTTTTAAGGTAAATGACTTGTGTTTGTAGAATGCCTTCTAGGGTTCTAGAACCCCCCAAGGCGCTTTGCAACACAACAGGAACTCACACATTCACACCCTGGTGGGGATGAGCTACGGTGTAGCCACAGCTGCTCTGAGGCGCGCTGACAGAGGCGAGGCTGCCGAGCTCTGGCGCCACCGGTCCCTCCCACCACCACCAGCAGCTATGGTGGGTTACGTGTCTTGCCCAAGGACACAATGGCAGCATTCTCTGCCAGAAGCTGGGATTGAACCTACAACCCTCCGATTACAACCCGTTCCACCTTCTGAGCTGCTGCTAGATTTGAGTCATTGTAGAAGCTGGTAAAGACCAGGGGCTCATTTAAAGAAACTGTTCTGTATTCCTTCCTACGAATGACATTTAGAAAGTCAACGAACGGTCAAAAACCAGATCTGTGAGACGTGCGGTGGTCCTCCACACTCGTCTGATGATAAATCCCACCTGTGTGTGCCCAGGTGCTCGTGTCCGTTCTCCCTCATTTACATACAGAAACGCCCTCAATTACCCATATTTGGTCACGCTACGTCCTCAGCACGGGGGGATTTCCTTCATAAACCTGGCACTTCTCAAACGATTACAGCTGATAGCTCGACTTCTGTCCATTGCCTGTGAAGCTGATGGCTCTGGAGGTCCGCTGTGGGTCACCCGTTGCAGCATCAGGAAGAAATCCAAACCAGCTCCATTTTTCTGCAGGAGCACTTTTCGCCTCCTCATTCCTATTATTTTGTATTTCTTCTTGAACCAATCAGCATGCATCTGACCCCAGAGCAGAGCTTCCTTCCAAACTTGACTTGGAGGATTTACTCGGTTTTATTTACTGACTTCTGAGTTTGGGAGACGTCCATGAAACGACCGTTTGTGGAGAGAAGGTGACGGAGCAGTTTTACCACAAGTTCACCGCAGTAACGGTAACCAATGTTTTTTAAATGAGTTTTTTTTTGTTGGGAAAGGATTAGTGAAGGTTTGTGTAATTAGTGTAACTGCTGTGTTTTGTTTAGAACATGATAAATGTTTAATCACCTTGCTGAGTCCATCTAAAGCAGCAGAAACGTGTTGGTAAGAGTTTCCTGGTGCAACTGTGTGAAAAAGAAACAGATCTCTGACAACAAATGACCTGACTGAGTGTGACTTTCCTTCCACCGTTCATATATTTGCAGTCGAGGCAGCTGACAGGTCTCTGCTTCAGCAGAATGATAATGTTGAGTAGGATTCACTCTTCTCAACGCCTCTGGTTGAAATGGTGAGCTCTACATGGAGGTAGAAGTTCAGCGGTTTGAACAACACAGCTATGCATGCAGGTTCAGCCTCCAAAAATCTCCCACAATCCCTTGCAATATCCTTATTCAGTCTTGTTCTGAGTTTTTTGTTTTGTTTTGTGGATTAGGTGATTGTTTCCTACAGAAATCAGTAAAACACTTTCCACTATCAACAAAAGCAGCGGTGTTCTGGTCCTAAACAGCATCTTCCAGTAGTTTATCTGCTCCAGCGGAGCTTCAGCAGCTCTTCAAACTCTGCAGAAGCCTGTTAATCACCTGCTGATTACATCAGGTGTGCTGGAGCAGAGACACCTCTAGAACATGATGTGCCGCGGCCCTGGAGCGCGGTCTGCTCTACACACACAGCATGTCCAGTCACACGTCTGAGACGGGAGCACACCTGGCAGCAGCTGAAGCTCAGGACAACAGCCATGTAGCGATCGTAACAAGTTCCTCTTTAGAGTGACTGTAACTAATCAGCCTTTACAGCAATAAACAAGAATTACTGTTGAATAAATACTAACATCCTGCTGTTTAACTAATCCTCAGCAGCAGCTTTTTAATCTAGTTGGTTTTAGGAAACAGTAAAATCTGGATCGTCCATCTAATCTGAATCTGTGATGTGATTCAACAGGAGAGACGTTCTGAACGTGTCGCTGCTCTGATTCAGTCCACGTTCATCTAACTCCCATATCAGTGGGCTGCCAGCCGGCTTCTGTTTCCAGTAAACCTGAAGTCTATTCATAGACGTGTGTGTGTGTGCGCGCACAGGTGTGTGTGTGTGTGTGTACACGTGTGCACGCACAGGCGTGTGTGTGCGCGTGTGTGTGTGTTGCGTGTGCTTGTGTGTACGTGTGTGCGCGCACGTGTGTGTGTGAGAGACTGTGCGTGTGTGTTTGTGTGCTTGTGTGTATGTGTGTGTGCGTGCGTGTGTGTGTGAGAGACACTGTGTGTGTGTGTGTGAGAGAGAGAGAGACTGTGTGTGTGTGTGTGCTTGTGTGTATGTGAGAGAGAGAGAGAGAGAGACTGTGTGTGTGTGTGTGTGAGAGAGAGAGAGCGAGAGAGAGACTGTGTGTGTGTGTGTGTGTGTGTGTGTGCGTGCGTGCGCGTGTGCGTGTGTGTGTGTGTGTGTGTGTGGGAGAGGGAGAGGGAGAGAGACTGTGTATGAGACACAGTCTGCTGCTCTGACTGAAACTTTTTGTATCCACTGATGTTCCGGGAGCCTGCAATGTGTGCCAGGTGGTCACAGAGCAGTCACGTTCACCAGGGTCACCAAACGGTACGTCTGTCTTTCTCTGTAACTTGTAGGATTTTAAACGATGAGCTTTTTATTTTCTGTACTAGGTGACTATAGAAACCTTGAGGTTCATCAAATAGCTTAACTTTAGATTTGGCAGCAGATGAAAACAATCCGAAGCAACAAATTTAGTTTGTTTTTCTGGTTTCTCCAGAAGCCCTACTGGTATTTTGTGAAAACTCATTTAATTTCTTTTTTAACTCAGTAAATTTGCTGTGGTCTGTAGTGTGAATGAATGCTGTGGTGTTGTTTTCTGGGGAGGAAAAAGCATTGTCACTCCTGTTCCAGGAAGTAGAGGTTAGCCAGAGAAGGGGAGCAGGCTTGTTTCTGATATGTGGACATCTCTCCTCTGATTGGCTAACAGCAGCACGACTCTACCACTGACTCTGTCGATGTTTTATCTCCACAAATAACACAACTCTGGAGGAGTTCTGCTGTGTGGTGGAGTTGCTAATGCTAATGGTTAGCTTCTACCAGCCGAGACATTCTCTGCTGTTTCCTGGAAGCAACAACAGCCTTCCCCGGTTTGAGCCAAGATGGGTGAGTCCATGAATGTTAATTTACAGCGCGACATAGATGTGATCGGCTTTCTGACGCTAACATTTCCTCGTTAATTTAAAGATGTCTGAAATATTTATTTTATCTGATGGCACCATCTAGTGGCTGACACACGTATCACACCAAGACGTGGTTTCACTTCAGGATTTACGTCTAAAGCATATGGCGTTAGACCCGTGCCACAACCCGTGCACGCAGATTGGGTCCACATCGCGCGTGTGAACGGGACTTGCGAGTGAAAATATACAAGGCGAGAGGTCATTTGTGCACTGAGAGGGAGCAAACTGTGTCTGTGAGCGCACAAGGATGTGCACAAGTGACAAACCTGCGTGCGCGTGTTGCCAACGAGCACACGGCAGAGGAAAACGTGCGCGTGCAGCAGCCTCTGCACGCGCGGCAGCCTCTCTGCTCGCTTGGTTTCTGATTCCGCTCGCTCGGCTGTTAAGGGGTTTTGGCACTATGGAGGCGTGGCCTGTGGCAGATCTTCTCTGTCCTCTGATTGGTTAGTTTTGCCCGCACTTTACCCTCTACCTCATTGGCCCATTGGCTTCCTGTCGGACCAAAATGATGGGAGCTATATCTATATAAAAAAATCTGATATTCAGTAGTTGTAGTCATAGCTCAGCTGGGAGCCCCCCGGAGGATCCAGGTTCGAGTCTGGGCAAGGAAAATAGAGTAGATGTTGTGTTATTTTTTCCTAATTCCTGTGATATTATTTTACAGTTGTGACCGTTCAACTGGTTAAATAAATCAGTTGTTGAACCCCCCACTCCTCTGTTTGGTCTCCTTTCTTATTACAGCCCACCACTTCCAGTCTGGGTTGTAACAATCTGCAGACAGATTTCTGAGTATCTCCTCCTTTGGTATACAGATCCTCACTGAGCCATGTACTGTGAACAAATAGTTTCTCCATGATATTATCCAGCAAGGTCCCGTTTTTGTCAAAACAAGGGTGAGGTAATGAAAAAATAGAAATATTTCATTAAATTAACATTTAAATTATTTATATGCATCATTAAAATAAAAAAAACATGTTTTGAAATATATAAAGTGCACCAAACTTGACTCAGTCCATTCAACAATTCTAAATGGACAATTATGTAACTCATCAATTAATTATTTGAAAGGATAATTTGTCAATTAAATACTGAAAAAAATAAACAATACATTAATGAGGCAAGAACTTTTTAAACTTGAACATACCTACACCCAAAAGTCTATTTTTACCTGGAGTCTCCTCTCAAGAGTGGCTGAAGTAATATTACTACTTTGACAGAATACAAATTCTCTCTCTCTCTCTCTCTCTCTCTCTCTCTCTCTCTCTCTCTCTTGCTCTCTCGCTCTCTCGCTCTCTCTCTCTGGAAGCCCCACTCTAAGGGCCTTTGCAGTGTAATAGTGACTCATATATTGTACAACCACAGTCATAAAGTTTTCAATCAGTAGTTTTATTTCAGTATGTATTTTTCCAGTATCACAAAAAATATAATTTTATATGGTTAAAACCATCTAGCTTATGTGCACTTTTTAAAACACTGCCCAGCAAACATTCGGACGTTTAATGACAGTTGAACGGTCACAACTGTAAAATAATGTCACAGGAATTAGGAAATAATAACACAACATCTACTCTGTTTTCCTTGCCCAGACTCGAACCTGGATCCTCCGGGGGGCCCACTCTCCCAGCTGAGCTATGACTACAACTACTGAATATCAGATTTTTTTATATAGATATAGCTCCCATCATTTTGGTCCGACAGGAAGCCAATGGGCCAATAAGGTAGAGGGTAAAGTGCGGGCAAAACTAACCAATCAGAGGACAGAGAAGATCTGCCACAGGCCACGCCTCCAGAGTGCCAAAACCCCTTAACAGCCGAGTGAGCGGAGTCAGAAACCGAGCGCGCAGAGAGGCTGCCGCTCGCGCACGTTTTCCTCTGCCGTGTGCTCGTTGGCAACGCGCGCACGCAGGTTTGTCACTTGTGCACATCCTTGTGCGCTCACAGACACAGTTTGCTCCCTCTCAGTGCACAAATGACCTCTCGCCATGTATATTCTCACTCGCGAGTCCCGTTCACACGCGCAATGTGGACCCAATCCGCGTGCACGGGTTGTGGCACGGGTCTAACGCCACAAAAGCACCGCCTCTCATTCATGAACACGCTCCTCTAGCTGATGACAAAGCTACAGGATGGTGTCCCTGGAGGACTGAGGACATGTCTCCTTTAGACACTTAAAGTGAGAGTCATGGCCTGGATGGAGACGTATTTCATTCACACTTCCTGTTAGGAAAACGCTTCTGAGAGGCGTCGCCTGGCAGACCAAGAGAGCGGCACTGAGGCAGTGATCCCCCCCTCCCCATGTGTGCTGTCGGAGTTTCTCAATCTAAAAACGAGCTGTTAACGAGCGCATGCACACTCGTGCGTGCACATACTCACACACGGCTTACCGCTCAGGAGAAAAGCAGACACAGATTCTGCAGCATTCTGGAGGATTTCCTGTTAACAGCGAACATTAGATGAAAAGGGGAGGAATGCGTTTTTTTCAAGGAGGCGAGCGGCTCAGAGGCTAATGTGCCATTTTGGCAGGTGATTGGCTGAGCCAGGTGGAGGTGCGGCTGCCTCACCTGGAGACCAGTGCAGTGTTGCCACATAGTCATTTGCTGATAACGTTTTCCAGCTTAGCCATCAGCTGATTCTACATGTATGTGGAGCAGAGTTTAAACCTGAAGATGGAGACATAAATACGGTTTTGGGCTGAAATATTACATTTAAAGTAAGTTACACTAAACTGCCACACTAATGATTACACGTGTACAGCACCATTAGACCCAGGTTATCAGCAAAAACAAGTTAATTGTGGCGTTAATCGCTCTTTAGGTTCTTACACCTTTTGCCATCATCAAATTCAAGCACTTCAAGGTGAGTTTTAAAGGTTTTCCAGTACCTTGAGGTGGTGCTGAATTATGTGAACAGCACATTTATCCTTAACATATTTATTTCATCACTTCATCTCATATAAGTAAATGTTCGCTCTCAGTTTGAAGCTCTATTTAAAATCCAAGCACTTCCAAGAGCCCTTGAATGTTTCCTTTCTCTGATTTGTTTATTTTGCTAATCTCAGTTTTTGCAGTATTTGGGGAAGAGGTTAAAATTTTATTTTTAAAATTATTTTAGAGGTGTATGTTTTCTACAAATGTGATGATGCAACTATTTAACCGGCTGGAGTACATCTGAACTCTTCTCTGTTGTGGTGCGGCGTGACCTTGCTCTCCAGCGGCTGCTCACTGAAGCTGAGAAAAAACAAAAGTTGGACTCTTGTCGTCCAGCCAGGCAGCAGGATGTGCTGTCAGAGCTTTTGTTTGGGTCTGCAGACCTTTTTAGCCCAGAGACAAAACAATGTGGACCACCTCACCAGAGGCGATTATGGGATGGGTTGACCCTCAGCAACAATGCAGCAGCAGTCACCCCCCTTCCCCCTGTCTACCAGTAATCAGCCTCAGAATCAGCTAAAACCACTGATGGGACCTGAACCGCTGCCGGTGGCAGCGCTGAGACTCGTCTGCATGAATGTTTTTTGGGATCCGAGGCAGGAAAACGTGCAGAAACAAACATGCACGCAGGCATATTGTGATCCAGTTCCTGCTCAGGATTTTTGTTTTGTTTTTTTCTTACGTTGTGTTGAGGCCTAAATTTAGCCCAGTTCAACCAGCACAGGCAGGAAAACTAAACTGGGAAAGAATTGAAGGAAGTCTAGTGGTCACTAAGATAAACACAACTCTCACACTCTGCTCCGGCTGAACACACACATTACTGCATGCGTGTCTCACAGAGACAAAGAGCTTTGGGAGGACTGAAGGGGACACTCATCCAGGACATTCCCGTTAGCCGTGATTATGAATGGATTTGTGCTTTAATGCAGATTTTAGGAGAGAAAAGTATTTCAAAGCCAGATTAAAGGTAAGGCACTTCTGAAATTTTAAAACTGTTTGGCTTAAATGTTTACATAAAATGTGTGGTGTTGGTCTTTTCACTGGGTCAATACCTTCATTTGTTGGATTTTTGTGCCGTTGGTAGAAACTAAATGTGGCTGCAGCAAACTTCTACTATTTGTGGCGTACAGCTTTTTAGTAGCACAATCTAACTGTTCAACTAACGATTTCAAAGACTTAGAGGCTAAAGGTCTCCTGAGAATAACTGGGATGCCTGAGTTATAAATGTAATCATCCTTTGATGCTGGAACTCTGGTTTTGGTCAAGTGAGCGATCTTCACCAGAAACACTTGTGAACATTTGACCAAGGCTCGGCTACAAGACACCTCCCGTGTGTCCTTGATCAGCTAGCTAAATGGCTAACAAACGGAGAACGCACGCCTCGGTAGAACATGAACATTGGAACACGCCTTGGCAGTTCCTGATGACGTATCTCCTAGGCAACCAGGGCGGGGCCAAGACATCAAGGCAGGTTCCTTGACATTGAGAAACACTGTGTGTTCACAACTCACAGTTGTAGCTCAATAGATATTATTTGTCTTTGCTTGTGTTGTGCAGCTGTGGCGGCCATTTTTAATTTGGTTGACTCCAAAAGTTAGCTAGCTGTTTGAGTGGTTAATCATATTTAACAAACAAACCGTTAAAGGTGGGACAGAAGATGACTATCTGGTGTGTTTTTGTCATGTTGCTTGAAATGCTCTTCACATACCGATGGCAACCATCAAGTGTTTTGTCAAAATCACAATTCGAATCACAGCTGAAACAAACAATTCTAGCAAATCCTATCTAGTCATTGTGAACATCCCACTCTTAATGGATCCTGATACATCCGATAAACTTCTCTGGGATGGGAGCAGCTGAGCAGGAAGTGAAGCCAGAGCCAGGCTAGCTATCTAGTGTCACGGACAAAAACTCGTCTTACATGTTAATTTTAGAGTGTGGTTCAGTTTGTGTTTGGAAACGTTTGGAAGAGCAAATCTGAAAAGGTTCTGGAGGTTTTGACCTGTTGTTCATGGGACATTGAACGGCACATTTCACACCACACCACACTGTCACTCCAGGTCCTTCGATTGGTTTAAAGGATGCTGCACTTGGACACAAAAAAACATTATATAATTTTGTGGGTGCTTTTTGGTACTGATCAGTCATCCTATGAATGTACTGCCTCAATGTACTGCCAACTCACACACAATGAGGTGACACACACACACACACTCACACAGCACCTCAAATTATTCATGCTGAAAAAAGGTAATCTATCTGAGCTACACATTGTGTCATGCTACTGTACTCACTCCCCTAGCTACAGGGCCACAAATTCAGTTTTAAAAGTACCTTATATGAGTGAGAAGGAGGAATTGACACCCTCCAGTGGCAGAAACCTAACCCTAGAAATAAACTCTAGACCAGGGGTATTCGATTCTGGGCCTGGAGGGTCGGTATCTACCAGAGGTGTGGAGTCGAGTCACATGACTTGGACTCGAGTCAGACTCAAGTCATTATTTTAATGACTTCTGACTTGACTTGATAAAGTCAATGAAGACTTACGACTTGAGTCAGTCTTGAACACTAATGACTTGCGACTTGAATCGACTTGTTGACTTGATGATGACTTGAGCATATTTGATATTTTAGCACAAAAGTGGCGTGACATGGACAAAAATCATGAATCATTCTTCGTTCTGGGTTTGATCTTGTTCTGCTAAATGCTGCAGCTCTTTATGATCAGTTTCAGTTGCTCTTTCTGCTGTTTGAGCAAATAAATTCAGCTTTAAGAAGCTTTATTTCTGGAATTCATTTATTATTGTTGTCAAAATTAAATGTAAATTCAAGTTGGACAGATGACTTGATTATGACTTGAAAATTCAAAGTTAAGGACTTGGACTTGGCTCGAGACTTGACTGGAAAGACCTGTGACTTATTTGTGACTTGCAAAGCAATGACTTGGTCACACCTCCGGTATCTAGCATGTTTCAATGGTTTCTCTGCTCCAACACTCTTGATTCAGTGGTTGAATCACCTGCAGTAGCTCACCAGGCTCTGCAGAAGCCGTTTAATCACCTGCTAATGGATATCAGGTATGTTCAAAGTAAAACCTGCTGGATACCGGCCATCCAGGTCAGGATCTGAATACCCTGTTTTAATGAAGCTGGGGTTTTTGTCCTCTAGTGAACGTTAATGTTAATGAGAAGAATAGAGAACTGCGCGTATAAAGTTACAATAGTTAGAAGAAACACTTCCTGTAAATTCTTTCAAAAGAAAACGCTACAGTGTTTTGGCGTTAGCAACAAGGTCTCGCTCTAACAGTCTTTTTCTCTCTTCATTTAGCTAAAAACACAATTCCAGTTATATTGATGTAACTGTGTTAAATACAGAGGTGGGCAGTGGTGGCCTTGCCCTCGGGAGCGAGGTTTCCCTTTCTGGTTGGCTCAGTTCCACAGACAGGGAAATGTAAAAGTTATTTTCTAATCTGCTTTGCTTATCGCTTTGGATCACACATATTTTGTACTTCATTTTAAACAAAAAATAATTATGTGTGTTTCAACCATGTCAGTCACATTATTTGATTTATTAGCTTGTTCAAATTTGTTGTTAAAAAGACTACAAAGTTTCTTTGTCTAAATAGAATTTTAATATATTTACTTTTAATCTGTCGTTTGAGTTGATTGATGGACATGTAATCTCTCTGTAATGGGTTTCTATTTTTTATTTAGGTTACCATAGCAACAGGAGAACTCCTTTAGTACATCTGGCTTTCCAGGATAAGGATTGTTCCGCCCTCTGCTGGAGATAAGCAGTCACTACAGCATTCATAAGCTGTAGCTCCTTCACAATAAAACGCACCACTGTTACTATAACATACTACTGTTTTTAAATTTGTGTTAACAACAGTTAGAGTAGATAACGGGAATCTCAGAATGTCTTTGTTTGTACAAAATACTTTTTATTTTTATATTAACTACTAAAACTCGACAAATCTTTGTTAATTATCTGTTTTCAACAAGATTAAAATAAGGAGAAGAAGAAACTACTAGCAGCTAGCTACAGTGCTACAAACATATCAGACATGCCCCCTGGTGGCAACAGGGCGGAGCTAATTCCACAGTAGACCTAAAGCATCGCATTTTGCGCAAACATCTCGTGAAACGTGTCGGGCTCAGGCTATGTAATGGTTAAGACTCAACCAGTTGTATGAAGCAGCTATCCTCCGCTGTCTTCTACACGTTACTGTTCATCAGCTGGGATGTTCTCTAAATCTTTCATGACCAATTCCCGCATTGCTGCTCGTTTGCCACTAGATGGCGCTATAACAGATCCTGGATCCGGAACCCGTCAGTTCAGTCAAATGGGCCATTCCCATCTGTACCGGGTCGGCCCGGGCCGGGTAGCCCCAGTCGGCCCCAGCCTGGCCCGGTTGATTCCACACATCCTTGTCTTAAGCCCATGTGGGCTGATTCTACCCACCAATCAGAGGCTTGCTCTAATAGAAGGTGTGAATTTGCTGTCAGCAGTGGGTGTGTTGGCCCTGGTCGGCCTGAAGCAGACCCCCTCGAGAAGAGGGCTGAGAATGAGCCTTGGTTGGCCCGGAAAAATACCAGGCCACCCACATATGTAAACAACCTACGCTACCCGGCCCGGGCCGACCCGGTACAGATGGGAATGGCCCAAAAGCTCCAGCTCCAGAGTCAAGGCTGAACGGAAAGTAATGCAATCAATTCAGATAAAAATAGATTTAGTAAAATGACCGTGAAATAAGGAAAAGCTGATGCTATGTTCTCCCTTTTCTGAGCTGCACAGTAGGAGGGTGACAGTAGAAAGGAAAACCTGGAAGAACCTCCAGCAGAACCATGAACTCTTCAAATAGGTTTTTTATTTTACTCTTCTTTTTCTTCATTCATCCTTAGGTGTGAATGAAACTAACTTTAACTAAATAGGTTTTTAACATTTATTTTTCTAACAATATCACATGTTCACTTCATGCGTTCTGAACGTGAAAAACGTTGGCTTGACTCACAAGAGTCCAATTATTTCTAAATGAGACTATTTCAAATGGTGGACCAGCATCAGAAGATCAGGAAATGCAAAAAAGTTTTTATTTAATCATTTGTCCCTCCCGTAATGGGTTCAGATCTACACCAGGTTTTTTCTTAGATGTTTTGTTACTTTTTCTCAGCTTCCTCACTAGTCCAGATGTGGCGAGTCCTTCTGTGAGCATTTCCAGGGTCTTGGTCCATTTCTTGCTCCATGCAGTCCCGATGGAGTCCGGACACCATGTGTTTATTATTTAGTTTTACTTTCCTTTCTCTCAGTCTTGTCATAATTCTGCTGCAGCAAGCCCTCTTCAGAGTCTTGGCTGAAATGTGGTGTTTGTTATATACTTTTCCCAACCCTGCTACCATCCCAACGGCGTCCAATGGACCCCAGGTGTTTGTCTTTCCGTTTGAAGGGGAGTGAGCGCCACCTCACACCTACCATGTGAACCCAAGGGATAAACCATCAACCCTGCTAAACCATCCCCTGTCCTGGAGGGGTCAGGAGGGTCCAGTAGACTACAGAAGGAATAACATCTGCCATGTTTCCACTCTTGAGCCACTCATCCTCCTCCATGTTTGCAGCTGTATGATCACAGTCAGGGCCACAGTGGCTGTGCCTACAAGACAATATTCTGTTTGACTTTTGTTCTGTTGAATGTGACCAGATGATTTTGTGTTGTTGACTTGAGCAGAAGAGACAGAACAGTGTGACCAGGTTCCTGTTTACATGCGGTGGATAAATGACTCATGTTCACATCCTGCTTCATCTCTCAGGCCACATCACATCTACTGGTTTTAATGCAGAGAACAACTTCTCTTCATTCCTCAGCACTCAGACCATCTTCTTAAAACAGCCATCGTGTTTGGAAACAACTGGAATAAAAGCGGGACATTTTATTTCAGTTCTTTTTTATTTTTCACTCAGTCAAAAGGG